ATCAAAATATTTGAGTTAAAAACTATATTAATATATATTAGGGGGGGCTAGCATATGTTCCAAACAGTGGCTATTCACCTGGATAGCCTCTTTCCCTGATGAGGATGATCTGTTAGACATCGAAATATTTTAGTTAAAAACTATATCAATATATATTAGCTGTTGACTGAAGAAAAAAAAATACTAATCAGTATATTTATCAGTTTTAATCTTCCTCTAACCAGGCCAGGTGTCAGCCCAGAGGTGTGCCCTGGTAGTTAAACAGTTCAAGTCCAAGTTCAAAGAGGGAGGAGATGCTTTCCTGGAGGAATCCATCATAAGGAGAGAATTGTCGGATAATTTTTGTTACTATGTGGAGAACTATGACTCCATAGAGTGTGAGTAGATGGGCCGTGTTTGAACTCGGTGGGGGATGAATTTATTGGAAATTTGTCAAAAATTGGATAATGTTATTTTTTCAGAGGTGTTTGAAAGTAAGCATGGTTGATCCATTTTTCTGAGTTCTGAATTTAACTTTTTTTGAAAAGTTTATAATTTTTGACAACATTAGTGAAATTAATCAGTCTGTGTATCCATTGCAAAAATGACCCAGAAACCACAAAAACTGGGTGATAGTTCTCAACTTTTGGTATGTTAAGGAATAGTGGAAGATTTAAAAAGATTTTATTTCAAAAATAAAAAGTATAATGTTCGTTGCATGCCCTTGATTTTAATGCCATCAGGTGCATACGACTGGGCCAAGGAGACGTTACGAAAACATGCCAGTGACAAGCGCGAGTACGTGTACACATGTAAACAGTTAGAAGAAGGGAAAACACATGACGATCTCTGGAATGCAGCACAGGTATAACTAGGTCACCCGGAAATATATTTTAAATTTCCCTTCATTTTGTTGATTCTGAAACTTGTGCATGTTATGAAGATTACGTCTATAGATTTTTCATGGCATGCATGGGGGGGGGGGGGCTGGAGGAAGGGGTTGATTTCTCCCCTTAGGCCATGCATAAATATAAAAATGAAATAAATCACATCTTAAACAGATTTACTTGTTTAAATATTTTGGTCACACCCAACTGCATACAAGGCAGGTGTATTTTTGCCTGGTGTGTGGTCACTGTGCTGAATATTACATAATATGCAGCTTGCAGAGCAAGCTATTATGATTCATTCAATGTGTTGTCTTATAAAAAGCTATAATAAGTCAATTTTTTAATGAAAATTTTAGTTAACTAATGTTTTATCCATTGTGAATCAAATGTGAACATTAGTAAAACATTTTGGCATTTCAGATATTGTATAAATGTAGCAGTTCTGTGAAAAAACTGTACAAATTCACTTAAAGGGGCACAAAATAGGATTCTGATCGCAATGTAAAGACATGAATCGCTTCTTGTTGAACTTCCATGAGTACAATAAAAACGTTTAAAACATAAATTCAAAGATAGATGGCCTTAAACAATATCGCAAAACATAGCTATATTCACTGTCCCCTATTCAGCCTATGTAGTCAGCCATCAAGACAAACCTGCGCTTAAGCGCAGGTTTGGATATTTCACCTTTTTCCAAAATTGTTACATAAGTATGGCGAGTGTTAGAAAAGGATTATAAAAGGTGGAAAAATGCCGTTTACCTTGGGAAAATTCGTATGATGTTAGTTTTGGCGGGAGAATCCTCTTTTGTGTCCCTTTAATAACGCCATTTTTCAAAAATTCTTTAATCATTGGAAGATGCGTTGTCACTATTATACTGAAAAAATGAAAGTGAACCCCTCTTAATTTTCCTAGCTGCAAATGGTAAAAGAGGGCAAGATGCATGGATTCCTCAGAATGTACTGGGCAAAGAAAATCCTGGAGTGGACCAGCAGTCCTGAGGAGGCTTTGAAAATTAGTATTTATCTCAATGATAGGTATGAGCTAGACGGAAGAGATCCTAATGGATACGTAGGTAAGTTTAATTAGTACAAATGTGTATGTGTGTACGTGTGATTGTGTGTATGTATGCGTGTGTGCGTGCATGCAAGCATGTATGTGTGTGTGTGTTTGTGTGCATTTCCAATTCGTTTTTGCATGTGTACCATTTATCTCTTAATGAGCAATGCAAATACATGCATTATTTTTTATACACGGTGCCATCATTGCCTTTGTCATAGCTGGGTAAATTATGTATTAAAATAGTACATCTGGCAGAGTTATTGGCCCTAAGGGGAAGTTTTTACTTTTATATCTAAAACCACATATATTCATTCTGTGTCACAGATTCTGTAATTATCGACTTTAAAAATACTGATTTTTTATGTTAATTAACATGAAACAAACACTCCAGAGTAGTTATGAGAAATACAACGACACTGATTTTATTCTTAGTTTTATTACATCACAGTGTAATCAGTTGTCTAGTGCAACACTACCATAGTTTACAATACTTACAGATAATAACAGTATAATGAGGTTGCTATAACTTATCATTTATAGGCATTTAACTTCCTACATCTAGCAGTGGCAGCACACTATATATAATGGAATTTCTCTCTTAATCATGTTCCATCTAACAGTAATGGAAATATCTTAAGATATTCTGGAAAATGCATTGAGAACAAATAAAAACATGTAACATGGGTTTTTGATATTTCCATGACTACATGCGCAATAACTTGTCTCTTAATAATACCACAACTAGTTGTATTTGAGACATTATGATTGCTATCCTAATTAATTATACACATCATAAAGACACCGTTATATGATTGATATTATATATGTTATAGGCCTATTAGAAGTATAATAACCTGTAACATTTGAAGCATCATGTTTGAACATCCTTATTAAGCACTTAATTCAGA